CAAAATCCATTATTTTTTTTTAAATTTTTTTTTTTTTTTGTTGGGTTTTGGCGTTCTTTGGGGTTTATTTATTTTACCCGCCTTTGATTTAAGCCGCCCAACCCCCCCCCCCCCCCCCCCCCCCCAAAAAAAAGCTGATCGTCCTATTTGGCCCCATCCCTATAGGTAGCCAAAATCTATTTAAGGCCTTATTCTCCCTTTAGCAAAAGCAGCAGGACTCGCTTTCGCAGCATGGCTCAAATTCGGACTTCAGAGGGTGTAAACCCATCAAGCACAGCAGAGCCCTTTCTCAACACTACACCAACAAAATTGATGAATGCTCCACGTCTACATTTCGCATACCCAGATATGTCAATGCCTCCTCATCAATTCCCTGCCCCAAGCAACTCACCAACCTTTCGCATCCCTCTCCCGTCGCCAAGTATCCATTTCGGCCGCATTGAACCCAACCAGCTTGCGCGGCAAGGTACTGTGCAACAAGCAGAGAGCTGTCATTCCGGCTCTTGTTACTGGTACCAGCTATACAAAGAAACTTTTGCAGAGCTTCAAAAAATGAAACAGCAGCGTGCTGATGATCAAATGGAAACGTCTTCATGCGCTGGAAACGAAACACAGCCTTCGAGCAGCCCTGAGACTCCTTCGGCTTTCCATGCTTTCTCGGCTTGATGCGGTTTACCTGTTCATTAACCACATAAAGGCATACTTTTGCATACACTCATTTACACTGTAGCTAGAACAATATTCACTCATTCATAATACTTTATACAAATATTCCGAAATTGTAAAGTGATCTGTTTTAAATACATTAATGCCTGCATACTATATATTGTTATTATTCTGTTCTATTCTGGTTTTTGTCTTTTGCTGAAATAATAATTCGCACGCTTGTAATCGCGAAAAATGTGGTTTAAAACTTATATTCAAGAAAAGAAAACTTGTTTTAAGAAAATATTTTATGCTGTTAGGGTTACGTTAATATATAAAAAAGGAAGAAAATGCTATACCCATATATATTTACTTATTTGTTAAGGCATTAACATAATTTTTGAAGACCATAACAATCACACAATATACAATGGAAGAGTTTTTCATTGGTAGAGGCCAGCTGCAATTAAAAAATCTTGCAACTGACCTTTGTAGAGACAGGCTCGACACAGCGATAGAGCGATTGTTACCAGTATTTCGTGTCAACTGCAGTCCAACGTTAGACGCAAATCAGATCTAAGTTAAAGTCTTGCCGAGCGAGCTGAACGATGTACTAACGAGTTCTGATACATCACTTGAAGCTCTGTCTCAAGGCTTGCCACCTTATGCCAGACTGCGGGCGTCACAAAAGGTACAGTGTCTTCATGGGAGACAACGATATGAGGCGGCACTTAAGGCACATGGGCCAGAGTTTTGGTGGACTGTGCAGATATTTTGTATACCCGAGGGCAGCGACGCTACCGTACTACTCCGAAAACAAGTGGAACAATATCACCACGAGACACCCTTTTCAGACGGAGACATATACCTAAAAGTTCGTCAGTACCAGAGATTGGGTGATATTGAACGTGAAAAAGAATGGAGGTTGAGGTTATCTAAACATAAGCAAAAGGCCCTAGGTAGGCTACTGAAAAAGTCGGATATTGTCGATAAGCTAGATCAACTTGGCAAATTTCCTGGGCTCTGGAACGGGTTTGAACTCGGCAATATCGAGGACCACCTATCAAGCCACGGCTTCGATGTGATGGCTCATTGCTTGCAACATATCTACGATGTTTTCGCTCAGATTACACTAGGCGACCATGAAATTGAAGCCGCCACAGATATTGAGACGGTTCAAACTTTACAACTACGCGCACCGTCAGCAAGCCAAAAAGATCGTGAAGAGCTACAGAAACATATGCAACAGCGAGTCCTGTTCAGTCGTATCTGGCAACAAGAAACACGACAGCAGATTGAAGACCGTATATTGAGTTTGAAGGAGGTGATCCCCAGCCTTAAAACATTCCACAAGAATATGAAATACATAAGTATTGGTTTGAAAATAATCAAATCAAACATTTTAGGCAAACTGTCAAGAGACGAATCCGTGTTCCATGCGCTGAAAGAGATCTGGAGACGCCCTAACAAACGTTACGTGGAATATCAAGATAATCGATTCCTAGAGATTGCAACCCAGCCTGATCCTCAATCTGCATATCAAGAGCTTTTTATGGCAGCCATCAGAGACCACCCGAACTTATCCACATCCGGCCCACGCTGCGAGCCAGGCATGGCCCCCATAGCAGCGAGCCGCAGAGACACCGCTGTTCGCATGTTTTTGCGGCGCGCACAGATCCTTGGCTTCCGAACACCAGGAGAGCTTCCCGTAGAGGACGGAACAGTGGACACTCCGCTTGTGGCGGTTGACCACCAGGAAAAACATCTTAACAGGCGCTGGGGATCACCATTCGCAAGGTCTTTCTACTGCATTCACTCTCACCTGTTCCTACCTGGTCTTATGGAGGATGCTCCCATGCAAGATTACCCTACTACGTTGTTTATCCAGCGAGATATTATCTGCTCGTATCTCGGACCGCTTCAAAACCTGCCACGTAGAAACAGCCAGCTAGCCTTGTCGGGCCTTGATGCTTTAAGAGCTCTCCAATCACCCGAAGCTATGCTTATGCAATTCGAGTCAGACACCAGTGGTGATAGCGATGCCCACCAGCCTGTCTCGCGTTTGACCCAGAGGAGTCATCGTTCTCTGCAGACCCTCTCTACGGAATTATCGCGAGAGCAAAGCTTGACGCCAACCGCGCAACTTATCACCGATTCAACTTCTGAGACACGTTCATTTCTTGCACCAGAGGTTGGCAATTTTGTGCAACCGGCTTTAATGAACACTCAGCTGCGAAACTCGTCTCAAATTATGTCTGCAGCAGCTTGGGCGCTGCAAAATCGGAACCAAAGGCGGAATTACCAGTCTCCCGTCTACGAGCAAACTTCAGAGATTTCACGTACTGCAGACACCACACAGTCAAGACTTGTGCATCAGTCACCCGAAAGTGACGGCGGGGTGCCTTCCATGACGCTTTCATCCCTCTCCCCCACATCGTCAATTTCTCGCGAAGCAATACGGGACATGAATACGTATCATTTTTCAACTACAAGTGACGGACTAGGAGGAAGTTCAAGGAGTTTTATTCAACCAGATGGCCAGATTTTAATGAGAGTTGATTAAAAATAGTGTTGATTAACAAGAGATTTAGTTAATGAGAGTGTTGATAAAGTTACCGTCTTCAATGCATCTTCTTTAGCCTTTCTGATCGTCGCGGTCCAGCATTAGACCCGATGAGTTGTGGTATCTCTTGAACCTCCTCATTGACGGCCAAGGTGTCTTCTGCAATCTGTGCTAGAGAAATCTCATGACCATGGCTTTCGTTTCGTATGGATTGATCAAATGGGGCAGGCAGCTGGAAATCCTCTTCAATGTGCGGCAGCGACTCAATGTATGGTGGCAGGGAAGGAGGTGGTGGTACGGGCTGAGCCACGTGATAGCCACCGCTTTGGGGGGGAGTGTCTGTCGACATAGCTGTAACATCAATTACAACCCCGTAGCTTTCCTCGTTGATGAGAAGAGTGATTCGATGGTGCGCTCGCGTATGGACACAGAACTGTGACTTGATTCGTGGAAAGCTCGAGCTGGACCCAACGTGTCGTAGGACGTCAAATGTCATGCTCCAGCTAGTATTGCCGAGGCTTATGACCAGCTCTGCATCGCTGGCTGACCCCTGACTGAGTGAGTGCCATTTTAAGACGCTTCCTTCTTCGTTTGTAGTGGCTTCAAATACTAGTGCGGGGTAATCAATGCAATGAAGGAGAACAGGCACGCCTCCAACGAGCGTGTCGGAAGCGCCAAAAACTCGACAGGTGATAGACATGCTGAAGTTTAGTCACTGTTCTTACAAGCTCTTTCCTTTTCACGACTGAACGGATTCTGGGTTAAATAGTTGAGTGAGCACTTGGTACCCTTAATTAAAGGACTATTTTTAGTCACTTCGCTAGATCGGCGAAGCGCTCTCAAAATAGCTATAGCCAATAGTTATCTCCTCCTTCTCCTTTTTCGCGGACTCGAGGATCTCCTTGTAACGTTGAAATTCCTGTACAATGACATTGGCCATACCAGATACAATATTATCACGCTGTTCTAGCTCTTGATCATGCTTCTGGATATCCTCCATGAGTAACTTTCTATTTCCTTTCTCCGCCTGGATTTGTGTTACAAGCGCTTTCACTTCTTGAGACAGCTCTTTGTTCCTTAGTCTGAGTTGCTCGTTCTCATCTTCTAAGAGTTGAATGTATGTCTCGGCAGAAAATGCGTTTTCTGCTTTTATAGAACTTCTACCATCCTGGATCGGCAACGGCGGGAGATTTTTTTGATCGGCAGCCGCCATTGTACTTAACATTAAACTGTACGGGGGTTTGGTGGTCTTTGTATCATTAAGTCCCTAGGAATGAAAACATTATAAAGGCGCGGTAGTATAAGTTAATGTAGGTAACTCCTTATAGAATTATTGGTACGGAAAATATAGAGAAAAGTTTTCTTATAATTAGTTTTTTTTTTCATAGTTTTTATTTTTCCTTTAGTAAGTAGTACTTAAGTGAGTAAAGTCTTAAAAATATAAATTATATAATACTCGTTTTAGAAAAATACGAAGTGCGTTGGGCAAGCCTTTAGTAATATTAGATTTATAGTTTATTAAACGTAAACTTAAAGTTTAAACGATATTATAGCATTAATAAGTTAGAAGAAAACATAGCAGAGCGCCTATACTAGTTTAAGACTTATTAAAACTATACATTAATCTTATAATCTTTATCTAGTTTCCTTAATATACGTCGATTTCTTTAAGCCGGGAAGTTACATCGACGGAGAATGTTCTGAGATCAGTCGCGAGAGATACCGTTGAGTCTCCTACCCTCTTCAAGTCTCTCTCAATTGTTTCTAGCCTATTATTCTTGGCCAACTCCGAGTCAAGCTTGTCGAATCGATTTTCAAGGGTTCTGTTCCGCGCCAGCTCTCTCTCGACATACTCAAGCTTAAGGAGAATCTGAAGAAGCAATCTGCTCATGTTGGTTTGTAGGGCTATAAAATAGTGACGTAGGCGGCTTACTTTTCACAATTTCCACAGCCCTTCCCAAGAGCCGACGATTCTGCCGGCCCGGGAACCGTGCATTCCGACATAATGTGTTGCTGATTAGCAAAAATATCGTCTTCGAAATTCATAGTGAACTCTGACTCAGGCATCATATTTTTTTAGTGTGGATAAATGTGAAATAGTCAGGAACGGTCATATATTTCTTCTAAACTTATATACCTTATATTCGTCTTAAAGCGAAGGTTATTTTAGGAGTTAGGAAATAAAGTTTAGAGTTTTAAAAACAGAATACAAGTCGACGAGAACCAGGAAACTAATAATAGGACCAGGCGTATCGCCATTGACATGCTATAAAGAATAGCCATCCCTCTGCGCCAGAGCGCTTAAACCGTAAGTCGAATAAGTCAAGTCCTGAAAATGCGTACTTCATCCGTTCTTGGAAGTTTAGCTCTTGCTAAAGTCTCACCATCCTTAATTTGTACTAACCTGCCCCCTCTCGAGGTAGTTGCGGGCTCTGGGGTAGAAGCAAAGTAAGCACAACCCCTTACGCGACGTAATGCCTCGCCTAACTATGGTATTCTTAGAATCAACAATCCACGAGGAAACGCATGCAAGGCGACGCTGGGATTTGCCAATGCAGATTTTCTGCCCGTCTCATTCTCGTTTAACCGCTTACCTTGCCCTGGCGTACAGATAGCTAGTTTCCCCGTTCCCGTTGAAGCGCCTAACGGCGAGGCTTACATCCTCTGGTAGTGCCGCCTTCCAATCAATACCTTTCCCCACTACTAACAGCGTGTCAGGGAGTGTGCGGGATTACCAACAATAACCTGCAATGTCGTAAACATATCCAATAGTACCAACAGACCAGACTCTATCCAATTTAATCAAGCAGGCTCAGTTGGTTGCTTTATGCCGACTTCTACCATGATTACATCGACAGCAACGATAGACGCTGGCAACTCTACGGGGGTGCGTCCAACGCTACTGACCAGTCACATTCTGACCACAAGGTCCCCTGGGGAACGATCTCGAATAACCGCTAGCATGCAGACTAAATATGGCAATGGGACAGGGGCGATGTGGAGCGGGCCAACAGCCAGTACTAAGCCTCAATTGCCAGTATCATCAGCAGCGACGGTGACGCCTTCAATGGCCGCGGTGGTAAGCGCTGTGGTTGGGACAATCACGATAACCCAAACGGTGGCTACCACTGTTATCCAAGCTTATCAGTCTCTGTAAAGCCTTTATATAGCGGTAATATTCGCACATTAGTCCCCTCTAGAATACAAAATGCATGCCCTATTACTTTGTACCGTCTTTATTATGAGTTCCACTGCAGATCAGAATGCTTCCCTATGGAAAACTCTTCTTAAACATGAGGTTGAGCTCCACAACACCACCAAGTCATTACTCACACAATCAAATGCATGCTGCATTTCCTGGCAAGATGCATGGACTTCCATGTATAATGAGCTGCTTCAAGCCCGTCTTAACCTAGCTGCCGCAGACGAGCAAATCAAGCAGCTCACCAGTCAAATCCAGTCACTCCTCTCCTCAGCTCCAGTATGTTGGCATTATTCTTTATACCGCAAGCAATTGCTAATTATTTAAAGAATGCAAAACAATCAGCAGATACTACGTCTTCGAACTAAAGCTGAGCAGCAAATTTAGATACTTCAGCCACATAAACTCATCCTGTACGCTTTTTTCTATCTTTTATAATCTTCCAATAAAAGTTATATCACAGATTTTTTTAACATACAATTAAACTAGGAATAATTTGCCAAAAGTTAAGAGCATATTGTTAGGAAACTACCGTATCCACGACCTGTTAAAGGGACCTAATATAAAAAAAGGATACAAGGTAGAGGACCAAAACCAAGAACAGCACCTGCTATTACAAGTTACGTGACCTCAGGATCGGAGGCTTATCTAAATATCTTTGGATAGCTTTCCCATCTAACTATCTACGGATTATGGGGAAGAGATAGCCCTGTGTGGATTTACTGGCGTCTCCTTTATAACTAGTCACTTTTTTTACTTAGTTCTTTAGCTATTGATCTTACACTATTGAATCATTTATTCGATTGACTGCACAGTGTGAATGTATTACACCTCTAATTTATTGCTGGAAAACACTTAATTTATTTCCGTTTTCGCATGCTTGCAAACCGAAAAAAAGTATCTTTAAATTATATATTAAAACAATAGCAATACTATATCTAGTTATATAAGGATTCTTGGCTATTATATATTGTTAATATCTGTTTTATAATTTGTTGACTAATAATACAGCCTTGGGATGGAAAACCGAAAGCCTCGAGACAGGTTAAATGAGAACTTCTTAAGAGCGATTAAGAATTATATGTTAAGATGTGACAAGATACACTGGAAGTTTAACTGCGATGTCTACATTTAAGTTTGGTGCCACCATCGTTATTATAAGTATAACTCTTCAAAGGACCCTCGCTTTCCTTTACTAATAATAGAGCTGGCTAGTGTAGCCTTAAACCCTATAAATATACAGCTGCTAACGTCCTCTTAGGAAACTGTCTACCCTTTGCCTATACGGAGGACAGCAAAAGACTTTATGAAACGCGACCAATAGGGCAAATATGTTACCATGTGTGGTTAAATGTTAATAATTTAATAAAAATGCTTATATCTATTAAAGGCTATTATTACATATATTAATAGTAGCTGCTTAATGGATACTTATACTTATATAAGATGAATAATAGGTTATGAATGATAAATAATGCGTAATAACTATATGAATTCAAATGTTGATCTAGGAAATCTTAAGAACTATCATTACTTTATGGCTTTTATCAGGGTAAAGCATAGCCTGAACTATCCTGCCATTTTTCCGTAAACCCCTTCCCCAGCCTTGCTTAGTTTACCGACACTAGTAAGTAACACTATTAAGTCTAGCGAAGTCCATGAAGTGAATGCGGAGGTTCTTCTAACGCTAGTAAGCCAGCACTTAATTTGCCTTAAAGTTCTGCTGTTAATTGCCTTTTCGAATTGGCCTCCAGCGTCTTTCTCGAGTTTAAGGCTCTCCAATACGCCAGTTTTAAGTTGAGTATCGGGATGCTCAGGCCCTGGAATTCGGATGCGTGCGTAGGAACACTGTTTTATTAACTGAAATGGATTATGATCACGGCCTTGACTATCCCAAGTGAACACTAGGATATATTACACTTCTTATTAGTATGCTCGCAGCAGAGGAAGACGCCAATTCGATGGTGATAAACGATAGACAGTTCCGGGCCGTTTAAGACGTGTATCAGCTGCAATTTGCGACTTAAAAAAAAAAGAAAGGACGAGTAAGCAAAACATAGCTAAAGTTTACCATGATCTAATGAGTCCTATATAACGTTGCCTCATCTTAATGTGCCTGGGAGTAGCAGCGGTAGAAGATAGTGATGGGGTTGAATCGTGGTACAAGTTGGGGCGGGATTGCCTGTGTTAGTGACTTATACTACGCCGCTAAGTTGCGTTTTATGGAGTTCAGAGAATTTTACGTAGGGAAAGAGCAGATTAGACGATAGTTATAGTCCTATGAAAACTTCTACAGCAACTCTTATTCAAGTAAAAACATCTCCTGATAAATAAGGCTACATAGACTTCAGTTGTTTAGCCCAAGAAAGGCAATCTAATCTATTAAGAACATATTTTGCAAACGTTTTGTGAGATCTTCTCGTCTCCGTAAAGAGACGATACCAGAGTTGCGCATCTCAAAGGATTGCACAGGCCTATTCATGTGCTTCTGAACCCCATCTCCTGCAACCTTAGGCTCCCTCCGTTTCCAATTCCATTCGTCGATACCATTATCCCTAAAGCAACGCACTGGGTCCTTCCGCACTCTTGTAGGCATCTCTATAGAGTAGCTATATAACCAATGTCGACTCTTTAACGGGTTGTTATAATACGGCAGGCAAACCGAAGAAAAGGGAAATAGGGTTAGTGGGCAATATTGTAGCACTTGGTCAGCTTTCAGCTTAAGTAGCTTCGGCCTACATGGCCGAGGATCTTTTCGGTAATTGATGGAATGCATGGCAAGATATTGGAGCAAGGGGATATCCGTAATACCTTGATGTGGTATAAACGCTATTTACGCTGACATGGAAATTAGATAAGATTTTAAGGTTCTACTAGCATAGTAAGCGGTAATACAGGAAGTATATATATAGCGGATCTTAGCTAAACATTAGCAACTTCAATCCTATTTGCACAGGGGCGGGACTTGGTATACTTTCGATAATTAGGGCATTTGGATTTGGAACATTTGCGTTAGTACCAGCTGGGCTAATTTTAGCACGACAAGGTTGGTATAGATCCCTTCGTAATAGCCTCCACTAATATTGTTAGAACAACTTCTACGTTTGGAGCTAGCGGCGCTAATTAATAAGCTATAAGAGTAGAAAGAGGAAGCTATCCAGCTTAATGCTAAAGCTGCTCGAATATTAAATGTTCCTGAAGACGACGAAAGCTGCTATTAGGTGCGGAATACTTAGCCTATCGATAATGATCCCATTTAATAACTTCAGTATTCGTTAAAGTTTTGAAATCCCAACGATTAATTGTGAACATGCAGACGATGGGATCAAACAGACGCCGCTATCTATACGCGCTACGGGTCCAAGATGGACTAGATAAGAACCACATTGATTTGGCCCATCTTTACTACCAAGAAATTGAAGCTCACAACTATACGAAGAGATAGCTATAACAAGTACAAGCATCCGCTATCGCATGGGAGCTTACATATGATCTTTTGCGTACCCAGCTAGACAATCAGGCAAGGCAACAGAGAGAGAATTTCCCACATCGTAAATAACCAAACTTAGTTAGTCACCCATATGGCGAATGATAAGGCAAAGTTGCTAATCAGAAAGTTAAGCCTATACTTGCCTAAACCTACAAAGCTTGCAAGTGGATTAGCGGTAGAGGCCTAGCGTATAAGTGACTCGGTCCCTTTTAGACGTTACAAGATGTAAACGGCAAAGTTAATTTACTGTTCAAGATAAATTGTTAAGTGTTTAGTGCAGATGTAAATTGTGTCCAATCAATCACTTAAGCTTCGTTATAGAGGGTCACGTGTGTGGGGAGGCTTCAAACTCAA